TACGGAAGCCGTTTCAATGAACCTTGTGATAGATAAAAGTCGTGGTGATCCATATAAATTGTTGTTAAGGGAGTTCCCTGAACTCGTAAAAATAACATACAATAAAGCGGATCTCAAACATTCTATTCAGCATCACATCGTAACGAACGGTCCACCAATCAAAGCAAGACCAAGAAGGTTAGATCCCAAAAGACTAGCCATCGCAAAACAGGAATTCGACAAGCTAACGAAGCTAGGCATTATAAGGCCATCGAGCAGCCCGTGGGCATCCCCGCTACATATGGCCCCGAAAAAGAATGGAGAGGTTAGGCCATGTGGAGATTACAGAGCACTGAACAAACAAACCGTAGCTGACAGATACCCTATACCGCACATCCATGATTTCACCTACAGTATTGAGGGCACTACTATCTTCTCGAAGATCGACTTAGTCAGAGCATACTACCACATCCCTGTTGCCCCACAAGACATACCGAAGACAGCAGTAACAACCCCATTTGGGCTATATGAATTCCTGCGTATGCCTTTTGGACTGACTAACGCAGCACAAACCTTTCAACGGTTTATCGACCAGGTCATTAGAGGTTTACCTGGAGTATACGCGTATATCGACGATTTATTAGTAGCTAGCACCACTAAAGATGAGCATATACAACAACTACGGCAATTATTTGTACGACTCAGAGAACATGGTATTTCTATAAATATTGAGAAGTGTGAATTCGGAAAGGAATCTTTACAGTTCCTAGGTCACAATATAACTTCTCAAGGCATCACACCAATAGCAACAGAAGTCGACGCCATCAAAAATTATCCCCTACCCGACTCATGGAAAAAGTTACGCCGATTTCTCGGGTTAATAAATTATTACAGACGATTTATCCCGAATTGCGCGTCAATATTGCAACCACTAACAGATGCATTACGCGGAAACGCACGGACATTCCAATTATCACCAGACGCGATTCAAGCATTCGAGAACGCTAAAAAAGCACTAAATAAAGAAGTGACACTAACTAGACGAAAGAGCGAAACACCGTTAGCTATCATGACGGATGCATCAGACGTAGCGGTAGGAGCCGTTTTACAACAATTAGTAAATGGCATATGGGAACCGCTTTCATTTTTCTCGAAAAGATTAAATCCTACCCAAACGAGATATAGTACGTTTGGAAGAGAATTGTTAGCAATCTACTTAGCAATAAAACACTTCCGTCATATGGTTGAGGGCAAAAGTTTTACCGTCTATACAGACCACAAACCGCTAACGAAAGCATTAAGCGCAAAGCAGGACAATTATTCCCCGAGAGAGATCCGACAACTAGAGTTCATTTCACAGTTCACGTCCGACATACAGTACGTTAAAGGACAAAAAAACGATGTGGCCGACGCATTGTCACGAGCAACGATAAGCACACTTATGGCAAGTGGAATTGATTATAACGGTCTAGCAAAGTTGCAGGAGAGAGACATCGAGCTAAATAAACTCAGATCCGGAGGTTCAACATCATTAGTACTCGAAGAGGTGCGGTTTGGTAACACGAAAGTAATTTGCGATACATCAACAGGCCGACCGCGACCATTTATCCCGAAAACGTTGCGACACAAAATATTCGAAAGCATGCACAACATGTCGCACCCAGGAATAAAAGCCACGATAAAGCTGATTAGTGAACGATTCGTATGGACAAACATGAATCACGATGTACGTAATTGGACACAAGCATGCATGAAGTGCCAAAAAGTGAAGGTACATCGTCATACTAGCTCTGCAGTAGGTCCGTTTTCGCACCCAGACACTAGATTTGAACATATACACATCGATATTGTAGGACCACTGCCCGTTTCAAATGGATACAACTATATCTTTACATGCATCGATAGGTTTACACGATGGCCGGTAGCAGTGCCGATAAAAGACACCTCAGCTGAAACGGTAGCTAAAACCCTAGTTGAAAATTGGATTTCTTACTACGGTGTACCAATGATTATCACAACTGATAGAGGAGCACAATTTGAAAGTCGACTCTTTCAGCAGCTTACTGAACTCCTCGGTATTAAACGAATCCGAACGACGTCGTACCATCCAATGGCAAACGGAATGGTTGAACGCCTACATAGGCAATTAAAAGCGTCCCTCACAGCCGTCATCGTTAACAACGATTGGTCTAATAAACTTCCCCTAGTAATGTTAGCCCTAAGAGCAACAATTAAACAAGACATGGGGTGTTGTCCAGCCGAGTTAGTTTACGGAACTACTCTACGATTACCCGGAGAATTCTTCACTTCAAGTAAAAATGTCCCGACTGATGTAACCGGCTATGTGCAACGCCTGAGAAAGCACATGAGCGATTTAAAAATAACACCTCCCAGACCACAACAACGACGGGTATTCATACCACAGGAACTGCATAACAGCTCTCACGTATTCATTAGAAGAGATAAAGTACAACCACCTCTTCAACCGAGTTACGACGGACCATTTAAAGTGATAGAGAGGACAAATAAAACGGTTACCATAGAGAAAACTGGGAAGACAGATGTAATTAGCATCGATCGAGTAAAGCCAGCTTTTATCGATAGCGATATTCAATCAACAAGTACAGACTCCTCTAAGATGGTCATACCAGCGAAACACGAGTCCCAAAAATCAACAACGTTAACTCAACAAAAAGACAAGACTCCGATAACAACAAGATCCGGCCGCAGAGTAAGATGGCCCCAACATTATGTCGCTACAATTTTCTATTAATAATAATCTACTATTTTAAATATTAATTATAACTTCTACCTCATCGTATACGCATGCATTATTAAGCTCATGATATGCGCGATAAAACTCAACGTATCTTATGTACCCTTACACTTATGCGTATAATTTTTGTTTAAAATGTAAAGACAATAGCGCTTTCCTTCTATTTCTTGCTATTATTTTATGTAACCTCACGGACAGGCGCAAACCAAATGTACAGCACACACCAACTTCATCTTAATTTTGTACAAACCATTTTGTTTCAAACGATTGTAACTACCCTACTCAGTTTGCTATTTTTTTATGCAAACACAGACATTTTCCATATATTTTTGTTTGCAGGGGTGAGCTATTATAGCGACTCACGTGCTAATGGGTTTATTTTCATTTAACCCAGTTAAGCCCTTTTTGTTAACTTATTTAGTGGACAAAGTCATCCATGATATAACAACTTGTTGTACTATCTTTATTATTAATGCTTGTATGAAATACATACGCTTGAACATTGCTTAGCGCCTACGCATGTATTCATTCTGCTAGCTTCATTATTAACTGCTTAATCTATTCGCTGACTCATCCATTTTCCTATACATATATATATGTGTACATTTGCACCCATTCACTACAACAACAACAACTACTACTACTACTACAGCTACTTGCTACTGTTACAATCGTAGTTCGCTTGCTCATTCATTTTGCCTCTCTGCTGTCTGGTCCGAATTATCTACTAAATAAACTGTAGTAGCTGCTTCTCTTTGCCTTCTGATTTCAAACATCGTTGAAGATTATACGATAACGGTTCGAGGGTGATTAATTATAGAAGCACAGCCACTACAATTTACCTTGACATATCTAATGCTCTTGTTAGGGTCGATCGTAGGTGTCGTATCAATAAGCTTAAACAAATAAGTTGGTTCACTCTCTTCATATCTTGATAATCGACATTCTAAGGTCAGGGTAACCTTCAATTCTTCAGACTACAGAATGCTCTGTTGCGATCTTTCAACGTTCAGTACTAAGACCCCTTCTTTTCTTAATTTATACGGACTATCTTTCCAAACGGGCATCACTTGACATATTACTTTACGTCGATGATGTTAAGCTCTGGAGAGATGTTTGCAACCAAGATGATAAGCCAGCACTTCCGGAAGATCTGACTGGACTTCAAAGTTTGGTAGACAACAACGGACTTATCTTTAAAACTTCAAGGTGTAAAGTAGTCCATCTGAGACACTCCTCACACTACGAATACAACTTAGGTAACTCTCCTTCACAGGAATCCCAAGTTGAAAAAAAAATCCAGGTGTGTTGGTACCCAACGATCTGAACTTTTATGTTAACTGAGACAAAAATGTCTTTTGAACAAACCTTGCACTGGTAACGTCGAAGCAAATTATTGGCCAGTCCGACGGTGGAACTTCCTGCCTAATCTTCAACAAAATTATTCGACCCTATTTAGAGTATGGAAACATAGAGTTTCCTCCCTCGCTCCGAAAGAACAAGGATACATTGAAACGCATTCAAAGGTGAACCACAAAATCAGTTCGGGACTCAAATTCAAGCCTTATAAAGAGCACTCCAAATCACTGAACCTTTATCCATTGGAGTATATATATCTAACATGTGACCTTCCAACGACTTGTTTCATCCTAAACACTCCTGAGTGCCCCCCCCCAAATATATACCGATGGTCGGCTGCAACACAAGCCTTGGGAGTAACACACAGAAATCAGAGGCACAACACAGCAGAACGGACTGTAGGCACACCTTCTACTCCTTAAAAGTAGTCGAATTCTAGAATTCAATGCCATCTAAGGCGGTCGGAGCTACTTCACAGGAGTCCGTCAAAAGGTAGCTTCATATTTTGATGAAGTTTTGTTCTCCGACCTGGATAAGGAACAAAATTTTGTCGGAATCACCCACCTAAGCCACAAATCTCCACGAGCTCGGAAACTTGATATATTATTGAGGATTAAGTACAGTGTCTCAATATAAGTTACCAGTACTCTTTTCTTATTTTGATAAGTATGCTAGGTTTCTACCTGACAGCATCGATGACACACTGCTACTAGATGTGGAAGCTTGCCAAACGGAAGGATGTTCTAATCTGTCCAGAATCATTTGGACAAATAACAACATAACTGACTAGTTGAGTAGTTGAGTGAATAGACATTACCAGATAACTGGTATCGCACCGAAAAAACAAGGAGTGAGCTCAGAGAAATAAATTGGTTTATATAAGCTCATGAAAAAGGTATTGAATATTAGATTAAACTTTAACTAATAAAGATTGACTCCAACGAGGCTCATTTTTCAAAAGTTTCGCTAGTTACTGCGGTTCTGGGTATTCTTGGTATAAGGTTAGTATGTTATAAGCTTTTATCGGAGCTTACCTTAGACATAAAAAAATCATATTATTCTGAAAATTTATTTTTATAAACTAGGGTTTAGCCATGTATTTTACCATCGTATATTAAAATACGTCTATTTTTATAAATGGTTGTTCATGTCGAAAATTCCTGTTTGATTTGATATATATGACTTTAACTCATCAGTTTTTCGTGGTTAAAATTAAACACATCGTTTATACCCTTTTCTTTCATTTCTGATCATTCAATTTTAGCATCATGGTGTTGCTTCAATAGTTCATCTCACTTCTATATATTGTTGTAGGAAACTATAACGGAATCGCCGTCAGCTTCTATTTTGAGCCATTTTTGATAATGTTTCGAGCTGCTGAGTTGTAAGGTCTTTAGAACCCCAACCGGGGAGTAATGATGAACCGACAGATAAAAGTTCCATACCGCTCTCTTTCATGCCACGACACTTCATAAACTGACTAACTCTATTCTTTTTCCACTCAATTCTAGCATCAGTAAACAGTGTGCTGAGTAAAGGTCGCTACGATGATATTCGTTAAAAAAGTCCGAGCAACCTTCGTACACACCCTTTCATTCCGTTTTCGAATCATGGAATTAGGAATTCCGTTGGTTCATCCCAGTTTTTGTAAAGTCAATAGACGGTTGAGAACTCATCGTGATAGGCTCCTTACGCAACAAAAGGCGAAGACAACTTAAAGGTAAACTATTAAGATCTCGACACAGTGATCTTAAAACAGAAAAACAGATAAGACAGTGATGATAAGTAGCACTAAATACTTGTTTGGAGTCACCAAGAAGACTGGTTGTTAAAGTGAGTGTTATTTCAACCGTCGCAAACGAGACAACTATAACATAAGTTGAACATTTTGAGATAAAATGCAGCTACTCTGCGGTCGAAAATTCCAGTGAGAACTTAAAAAGGAGATGTACACTGGCCCTTAACTCAGTAAAATAAAGTTCGTATCTGGTATGAAACGATGAGGAGTATGTAATCTAGAACGATCAACCGTAAAAGGCATTTTAGATGCTATCTCAAAATCATCAGCTGATTTGATTGAGGTTTTACTTGATTAGTTAAGGTCTGAAGGCTAGGGCTGATTCGATACTTTTGATTTTATCGTCAGCCGTTCTAATTTATTCTTATAAATTCTTTAAGACGGGACAAAAATCCGCTCGTGATAATTATAAAATGTCTGATTCAATGAATACAGTATCGAAGGTCTAAGCTTCCACAATTGTCCAATTTTCAGAAAAGTTGGCGAATGCATGCATTAAGTATCCATCGTTTGATGAGTCTTAAATATACGTACCAGTATCCGTAACTGTATTACATAACTTAAAACAAGGTAGTACCCTGACCATATTGGTTTGTTGGTCATTGGAAAGTATATTACAATGTTCATCTAGCGATTGAAGACTATTTACTAATCGAGTTCTAATCATGACTAAGGTTTATTTCTCGATTTCACTCCTTTTTAGTGAAGTGAATTCTCTACTTTCATTTTTTCACTGCAGTTTATAATATTACTCTCACTACTTTGTCTTTCATCTTTTAACTTTCCTCTGTCCCCTTGCTGATATTACGTTCATTAATTTGAGTGAATACATATTTGTGCTAGATCTTATTTTGTCTATGAATGACTGACACCCTCCATACTTTGGTTATTTATTTTTACAAGTGTTTCACTGATAAATTCAGTCTAAAAATGTTTAAGGTACTGGTAACTTACATACATTTTCAGTTGCGGCTTATTCTTACTTTCATCCCACTAACTTCAAGTTTAGGAAAATTCGGTGTCTAATCTTTAGACATGTAAATGCTTAATCGTCTAAAATTAATTGAATAACCTTACTTCTACCTAGAACGTTTGGCTTTTCTCGCAACGTTTTAACATGCGTGGATAGGAAACTTTTGAAAATGTTCATGAATAACTCCTTTATTCCCGTAAATAGTTGACTGTTTATATTTTCTAGCCTATTTTTACAGAGGAATATTGTCTTCTCGATATTTCTTGATGATGAACCGCACTAAATAGCTAGATATTAACTATACGTTACGAATGGAAATTTGCCATAATTCTTTCCATATCACCTTAGGTTTTATTTTTGTATTGTTTTTTACGAATTAGCTGTCTGACCAAGATAAACTGGAATTTATTTTTATTGTAGTTGTAGATTACAGTTTGTCTCTTTCATTTTAGTTTTTGTTAGCCTATTAATCTTTCGACAGACTTTTCCATCTTAACATATTCTTCTAGTATCGGGATAATACACAAATCAGCTGTTTTTTGTAATCCAAGTAGTTAATGATAATTCAAGTCAATATTGATGTGAACAAGTTGAAAATTGACGAAGGATCCCTGTATTCCGATGTTAAATTATATATATATATATATATATATATATATATATATATATATATATATATATATATATATATATATATATATATAGTCTCACTTGTTATAATAAGGGGACATCTCGAATAAAAGTTAGAACTTGATTACTTTTACAAAATATATTACCATTTTGTGGGAAACCTCTCACTGTATGATGTGTTTGGTTTATTTTTAATCTGAATGGAAAATTGGTTGACTGATTATTAATGCTGATTACTAAATAATACCTATTTTAATTTTATTTCGTTTTACAGCCTTCACCATTTTGCCTATTATCGTAAAGAATCAAAAAAAATCATTGCAATGAGCATAGAGACTGCTCCGTATACTGTTTCGAAAGCTTGGACTCAAGAAGTTAGTTTCTCGTGATCATATTGAGATTCTTAGAAAGTTGAACTGCGTGAGTATAACTCTTTACGATGGGTTTGTGCCATGAGTCATGAAAGTTCAATGGATAAGGCAAGTAAAGAGTGCTTTTGGAAATTGTTCAGGTATATTGGTGGGAAAAATGCACAAAGTTTGTGATTTCTTTCTGATTAATATTCCTTACAGAGGTTAAAGTACCGATGACTGCTCCAGTTACTATTGAAAGTAAACCAGATAATCAGTCTGTCATGAAAAGATGTTTTACAATGGGTTTTTACATTCCTGAGGCGTTTCAATCAAATCCACCTGCTCCAACTGAAGACGGGGTATTTATAGAAACTAGACCAGCCATGAAAGTTTACTGTTGGTGAGATATTTATACATAGTCTGTTTAATGTAACTTGTTATTAACGTTATATTTATAATTCGCATTAAACCATTCAACCGACTATTGGTTTTTAAGAAATTAATAAAATTTGATCAATACTGCAGCCCGACCACATTTTCATAACTATCTTTTTTGGAGTCTTATTTACATTTAATACTTCAATAGACGCTGGATATCATTATGTAAGTGACAGTGTTTGAGTGCTAAAAGCCATAGAATACCTCACAGTGCTGTGCAGGTATTAAATGTTTACCGTGTGAAGGATTTCTGTTTCATTAGGTTTAAAAAGAAACAATCCTAGTCAGTGTGTTCTAGGCCGCTATTCTTTAGCAAAATCTTATACAACCAACATCGGGCAAACAATTTTGAGAAATCTTAAGTACGGTTTCATTCGCTATAATTAGCCACACTGTTTATTCGTACTATTAAAACAGGTACCTTGAGTGTCTATTCAATAATAAGGTTTTAGAGTTTATATCTTTAAATCTTAATTTTTCAGTAAATTTACTTAATCTGAACACTGTTTACAAAACTAAGAAACATGCGATAACAGGGCAAATTATTCATGATTCATATATTCACTTTTGTACCTCTGGTATTAAGTACTAAAAATCGGGAAGTGGAATCTGATTTTAAAATTCGTCCTAATAGCTATTAGTTACGTATCTAAATCATACTTTCCAAGACTAGCATCATGACAAACATTTTTATCCTTTGAGAACCTGTCATGTTTTCAAAATGAGAAACAAGTTTTTTATGTTTATCCCTGTTCCTTGAGCAGTGCACTCAACTCAGCGTGACAGAAGTTTGAACAACAAGGAGGTAAAATACAAACCTGATACCTATTGCATCGGAACAACAAGTTAGAGTAGTGTAAACAAGAGTTCATATGGAATTGACATCGGTAACTTTTCGATCTTCCTGTTCCTTCTGCTAACGTTTATTGGTTAGAAATGAATTAATTAGCATGTTTAGAATTAAGCTTAAACTGAGCATTCGACCGTTAAAGTTCTATTATGTGCATAAACTTCACTGCCAACCTAATTCAAATAAATAGTTATACCATATGTCGACTTTTTCATTGCAAATTCTGTATCGAAATTGAAGAGTCTGATTGGTATTAGCTAGTATTTTTCTTTTTCTTTATTTTATTCTGTTAGTCGTTGTTGAAATGTTTTGTACAATGGTGTACCCACCAAGTATTTTTACTTTTAAACTATGGTCACTATGATTAAAAAAGTGCTAGATCTTAGTTCTAATCTCTTGACGTTTCAAAGATGTTAAGCATAGTATCCTGCATCCTTTAAAATAACTAAATTACTTTCATGTATACAGAGGCGTTGAACAAAACAAAACAAGTTCTATGGTTCATTTCATATAAAAAAATATAAGGTATTTAATTTACTTTGTAATGGTATGAGTTGTCCAGCTGTTGATACTCTTTTTACTAAAATTTGATCAATCTTAGTTGAAATACTTGCACTTTATGCGGATTGCTTCGATATAGCCACTATGACACAAGTTTACGTAGAATATTAACAATGAAGTAAGTCAAACCATTAGAAATTAAATTAAAATTTATATCCGTTTTACAACTGAATAGCTTTCTGGAATCAATGTCTAAACGGATAATTTGTTGACGTTTAAAACGAAAAGTACCAGGTATAAACACTCTAGTGGAAATCAACTCTAAGATGTAAGTACATACAGCTGACGAGTCTCGAATGAGACGAAACACGCATATTAGATCTCAGGACCAATCATATTTCATCTATTCTATAAAATATTTAATTAGTTTACTTTATTTCATTTTCTTTTTTTTTTTTTAAATTTCATATAAAGGACCTATTCAGGTTTTTCAAATAATGATAAGGCATTAAATAATGCCCGTAAACTTGGTGAAAGTCTCGATCAACTTGGTTTAAAATATATACCAGATCCTTTTTATTTTGCTGGTTATGATTCACCATTCAAATTAATTAATCGTCGAAATGAAATATGGTTTAAAGCTCAATGAATAAATTTCTGTTCTTTTTATCACAATGAAAATAATGAGTGTTTACTTTAGAGAGAGAGAGAGTGAGAGAGAGAAGGGGGGGAAGAAAGGAAAGTACTTATCAGCTGACAACGTTTCTTTTTTCTTCTGCATAGAACTTTGTTTCTATTCTTTGTAATCATTAAAGAGTACATTATGTCACATTTTTTATATATTTTATGGGATAATTGTTTTATTACACCTGAACTTTTTTTTTCACTTAGATATATATGATTGGTTCATTTTGTATCTATGTGATTTCACGTGTTGTCTTGTTCTCCACACTACTCATATTACTTTCTATATAAGTGTACTTATTTCATTGTTTGGATAATAATCATAACAACAATAATGTACTACTACTACTACTACTAATAAGAATAACAGTAATAATACTTAACTCAGGTGGTCGTATATACTCTGCATAATCATAATATATACATAGTCTTTTTTGTTAGAAAAACCTTTCTTTTCAATTCTATAATCTCAGGTTATAGTGTAACTTACATTTTTTTTCTGAACAATTCAAAGTGTTGTGTTTAAGAATTAAATAGATTGTTTTTTACAATATAATCAGTCTTATAATTGTTATTTGTATACAAATGAATATAGATGAAAAGAAGAAGGAAATGAACATTACGTTGTTGTTAACATTAGATTTAGTTGGTTTTGTGTAATTAAAACAGTTTAATAGAGAGGAAGTGATTTCACTGATACAAAAATATGATTGATTTTGATTATGCGTTCCCTGAAGAATTGAAGATACTCGTAGAATACTGATATTTTGAGACCACTGAGTGAACATTGCCGAGATTAGATTTGAGGTACGTGATAAACATTACAAATAGACTAGTGAAATAATGAATCTACATCAACTGAGGCGGTTGGGATATGTTTAACGCATGCTCTAACTTGATTGTTGATATTGTCTGGGGTAGAGATACGCTGGAGGAAAGCTAAGGGCAACCAAATCAAGAAGTGACACCAATGCACGAGGGTTTTAACAATCGAAGTGAGCTATATCAATAAGTGCAGACTACCTGATTGTGGTCAGTGTGATTATCGCAATCAACGGCTAGAGTATTTGGATGGCATGACTTAGAACCGTTTACCACGGCATATTTGCACTCACTTATTGTCTTTATTCAGAACCCGAGTCTCGAAATCTCGAACCTTTTTATTTTATTTTTCTATGCCTGATCTTGATTATTACTGATACTGTCACAAATCCTACTCTGTGATTCGTCTTTAAATAATTTCATCTCACCGTCCTAATTTAGTATTGTAACTTGGGCCAATACACATATTTATCAGGTTCTACGTTTCGTAAATCTCTATCTCTAAACCAACCATGTTTTCTTTGAGTCATGGTGTTCGACTACAAAATGCTCACAATCTTTTTTCGGGATCAGGATCTTTTCAAAGCAGTAGATTAAAAAGCTTTGATGAATGCTTTATTTTTCAACTTAATTATTGTCACCCTTGCTTATATACACGCTCTTATTGACGGCTTATTATTTATTTATTCGAACACATAAACAATGGTAGAAGGCGGCACCAAATACATATATGCCACACAATAACAGTGAGGTTGTGAAAGGATAGAGAATTAATTTAAAGTGCATATAGGCCTCAGCATACACAAAGGGAAAACCAAGATCCTCAAATTCAAAGCGGAGAACAGTAATCCAATCACTCTTGATGGCGAAACTCTGGAAGATGTAGAGTCCTTCACATACCTGGGAAGCATCATCGATGTACAATGAGGTTCACATGCAGACGTGAAGACGAGGATTTGCAAAGCAAGGGTCGCATTCTTACAATTGAAGAACATATGGAACTCAAAACAACTTTCAACCAATATCAAAGTGAGAATCTTCAATATGAACGTCAAGGCAGTTCTACTGTACGGAGCTGAAACTTGGAGAACTACAACAACCACCATCAAGAAGGTACAAGTATTTATAAATAGCTGTCTTCGCAAGATACTCAACATCCATTGACCGGATACCATCAGCAATAGCCTTTTGTGGGAGAGAACAAACCAGCTTCCAGCTGAAGAAGAAATTAGGAAAAGACTATGGAAATGGATAGAACATACATTACGCAAATCATCAAACTGCATCACGAAACAATCCCTAACTTGGAATCCTGAAGGGGAGCGGAAAAGAGGAAGGCCAAGAACACATTACGTCGGGAAATAAAAGCAGATATGGGAAGGATGAATAACAACTGGAAGGAGCTGGAAAGGATTGCCCAGGACAGGGTTGGATGGAGAATGCTGGTGATTGGCATATGCTCCTTCACGAGGAGTAACAGGCGTAAGGAAGTAAAGTAAGCATATAATAAAATGGACAATAAATAACAGAAATTGGTGTGAGAGTGAAATAATAATAATAACAATAATAATAATAATAATAATAATAATAATAATAATAATAATAATAATGGGAGAGGCAGTTCAGTTGAGTAAAACACAACCAGAAAGAATTCTTTCAGTTAAATAAGTTACGTTCGTTTTTGTGAAGAAAGTAAAAGAAAGTTACAGTAGGATCGTCACTAGCTTCTATTCTGAGCCATATCTGATAACGTCTCTAGCCACTGTGTTGCACCATCTCTTAGAACCCAACCAGGCAGTCATAAGGGACCAACAGAAACCAGCCCTTGGTAGCTTTCTTCCATACCACGACACCTTGTCGTACACTGACCACCTCTCCGCTTTTTCCAATCGGTCCTGGTGTCGGAAAATGATGGACTTAGTAGAAATCTCTGGCAAGACATTCATAAGACATGTCCAAGCCACAGAAGTCGATGTTTCAAGATAGTGGCACTAATTGAATGGTTGTCACTGTGCCCGAACACACGATGCCGAACCTCTGCATTACTAACATGGTGTTTCCACTACATGCCAGCAGTCTTTCGAAAACAACGGCGATCAAACACAACTCAACTCGAAGAGGCCAGGTTTCACAAGCATAGAGCAACACTGCCCTCACCGATGTGTTGTAGATCCGACCTTTTACAGCCAGACTGACATCATAAAAGCGCCAAAGATTACCCGGATTGGCACAAGCCGATCTGACATTCACTATACGTGACTTGATCTCATCGTTCACGCCACCACCAGCACTTACGCAGCTACCCAGATACACGAAGTTCTCGACTACTTCTGTTTACTCACTACCCAGGGTGAGCGCGGGGTCAGGGTCCTGCCAGTTTTGTAAAAGCACTTTGCACTTCGAAGGTACAAAGCACATACCATACCTACGGACACTGATTGCCAACTGACTAAGTGTGGATTGCATAGCTTTGGTATCATCGCACAGTAAAACAATATCATCCACATACTCAGGGTCAAAAGGTCTTTCCGCAGGCAATAGGCCTGCAACATTACCTAAATCCATCAGAGCTGTTTCCAGAATGTCATCGATGGCAAATTTAAAGAGGAATGGTGAGATTGGGCAATCCTGTCTAACTCCACTGCTTGAGTGGAACAGCGGAGAGAGTTAGTTGTATGCCCTTACTCTGCCAGTAGTGTTTGTATATAGGTCTTCCAAGATGTTAACAAACTCAGACACACCCTTCTTCAATAGACAATCCCAGAGAACAGTCTTGTCCAACCATTCGAAAGCAGCCCTGATGTCAGGAAACACTACAATTGTTGACCTGTGATAAGTATTACGGTGTTCTAATATTTGGCGCAGGGTGAAGATATGATCGACACATCTTCGACCAGAACGAAAACCAGCCTGCTCCTCGCGAGTCAATCTTTCTCGGATTTTGAACAATCTTCAAAGTATGATGGAAGCCAAAAGTTTGGACGCAGTCGAAATTAGAATTACATAGGTGACATGATCCCTTTTTAAAGATAGAGACAACTATCGACTCATTTCACGATGTCGAGACACTCTCTAATTATCAAACCTTTGTAAAAAAAATTCTGTCAGTCTCATAAGTAGAAAGTCACCGTCATCTTTAAGAATGGCCGGAGGTACGTTATCTGGGCCTGGTTATTTGTGGTGCTTTGAGAGTTGGAGTTCCCTGCGACCAATTAGTTAACACGCTCCGACCACCAGGCTTCTCGATCCTCACTCAAGCTTTGAGCAATTTCATTATGCAACAGTCTTTGTTTATGGTCAAAATCGCGATCACGCAGAATAGACCGACGGGCTTCGATGAGTTGTAAGGAGCCCGAAGAAACCCAGTGCTTATAAGCAGGACGTTTTTCGAAGCCGCAAGAGACTTCACTCGCCACTCCCATGGAGTCATGCAACTGTAACCAATACTCATCTATACTTTTCAGTGGGCTGATAGCTAGCCTTTAACCTAGCTCGGTATGATAAATGGTTGGAACAGAATCTGCAAGCCATTTACTGACACGATCCGTT